TAAGCGGGCTAAGGACTTGAATAGACAATTCTCAAATGAAGATATACAAATGGCCAACATATGAAAAAATGCTCAGCATCACTAACAATCAGGGAAATACAAATCAAAAACATAGTGCCATACCACCGTACTCCTGAAAGAATGTCCATAATCAAAAAATCAAAAAATAGATGTTGGCATGGATATAGTGAATAGGGAACAGTTCTACACTGCTGATGGTCATGTAAACTAATACAGTCACTATGGAAAACAGTGTGGAGAGTCCTTGAAGAACTAAAAGTAGATTTACCATTTGATCCGGCAATCCCACTACTGGGTATCTACCCAGAGGAAGAGTCGTCATTATACAAAAAAGATACTTGCGCACATGTTTATAGCAGCACAGTTCACAATTACAAAAATGTGGAACCAACCCAATGCTCATCAATCAACAAGTGGAGAAAGAAACTGTTTATATATATAACTGTTATTTTATATATATATATATATATATATATATATACACACATATATATATACACACACACACACACACACACACACATACATAAAGGAATGCTACTGAGCCATAAAAAGGAATTAATTAATGGCATTCACAGCAACCTGGATGAGATTGGAGACTATTATTCTAAGTGAAGTAACTCAGGAATAGAAAACCAAACATCTTATGTTCTCACTTATAAGTGGGAGCTAAGCTATGAAGATGCAAAGACATAAGTATGACACAACAGACTTTGGGGACTCGGAGGTAAACAGTGAGAAGGGGGTGAGGGATAAAAGACTACAAATAGGGTGCAGTGTATACTGCTTGGGTGATGGGCCCACCAAAATCTCACAAATCACCACTTAAAGAACTTATGTAACCAAACACCATCTGTTCCCCAATAACCTATGCAAAAAAAATTTTTAATGACAAAAAAAATGTCATAATCTTGTAAGAAAGTTATAAATTTGTTTTGGGCCACATTCAAAACCATCCTGGGCCACAGGTTGGACAAACTTGGTTTAGAGTTTTGGCAGACCATAATTGTATTAACTAATTTACAAACATGATCCTGGCATCTGAATTTGGAACTCTCAGATAAATTCCTGTTACATGTGGTAGTAAGGCTAGTGGAAACCTTGATTAATCTAGTATCCTCAGTATCAGCTAACAGAATTATATAACCAAACCATTCATGGACACAAAATATGTCCATAGGAAGATGCATCCTAGCTTCTTAAAACATCTGAATTTAGGAGCCAGAACTATTTAAATGCTATAATAAACAAACTTGAAGATTTTGAGGCTCTTCTGTGAATTTTATATTCCCCTTTCCCTCATGTAACCTCCCACTTCTCCCCCAGACCCCAAAAGAAGAGTTCAAATATCCATCACCCTGCAGGTTCTTTGAAAGATGAGAACTACGGCATAGTACCTTTTTAGGAAAAGGTAGGTGGGGGTATGTGTAGCAGAAAACAACTTGAAATTATATAGGATTGCAACTTTATAGTTAAATTACAACTTTAGGATTGTAATTCAATACTTTGACATATCTTTCCTAAAATTGAGAACATACTGCTGCTAAGCAGCAAAGAAGCCTTGACTCTTGTACTTTAATGATCAGAATTATAAAATGTGTTCATTGCATGAGTTCCAGGTCAGAGCTGTTAATTTATTTTCAAACTTAGCCAATATTAAAGTAGGTATCATTACTTTTGAGCAGCAGCTCTTCAAGTTTGTTTCATCAAATTATAATTCCAAGAAATCTTCCACAAAGAAAGAGTTGCATAGGTAGATTAGTTATGGAAATAATCCTTTTTTCTTTGCCTTTGAGATTCACTGCACACATTAATATATTCTAAAGAAACCTCTTTAACTTTATTTAAATCCACTGAGTCCAAAACTGTTTGACCATGGATTCTTTTTGGAGGTGGCATCTGTTATTACATTGGACATACTTTGGAAAATGCTGTTCTGGAAATAAGTTTTTAAAATAGTTAAAACACCAGTTTCAAATGTATTACATTCCTATGGATCCTTTGCCAGCTGTGTGAATCACAGCCCTCTCCTTGTGTTGTTCTTAAACTTTGAAGATCATACCCCTCCCTGAATTCTGTCTTAAGAGTTCAAACCTCCAATAGTTTGCACTGACTCATACGGTTTCATGCTGCTTGGTCATCTCGGCCCTTTGCAGTGTATTCCTGTGCCGATGCTATTACGTCAAGTCACACCTTTCTTTGAAAGGGTGCCCTAGTCTAGGACTGCTGACCAACTACCTGTATCTTCCAATTATAGACATCAAAAACGTAAAGGAAATATAGGTTGCCTTTATACCAGGAATATAAAAACTCCCTATCAAAGCCAGCACTTTTCTTTACCCTTTAAGAGTGGTGCATTCTCTATCAGTTACCACGCTAAAAACTTGTTTAAACAAATGTATTTAGTCATTTGCTCACTTACCCAACGAATATTTATTTAAATCCCATACTGAAAAGGCTTATGATGATACAATTTGAAAAAGAAAAAAATTTTTTTAAGTGGCTCACCACCTCAATGGCTATACCAACTTGCAATCTTATAAATTATCTCAAATCCAAGTGTATCTGAAAATATTCCCTTGTGATCAGCGTGATAGTTTTCAACAGTCTTAAGCTGGGTTGATTACACTAATCAAGGGCAAATACTAAATGCTAAATAGGTGAAATTGTTAGCATGGATAATTTGCCTTGGTTTTATATAAACCAAAGTTTAGCTTTCTATATATAACTATAAAATAAAACATTGTTTCAAACTTTATAAAGCATCTCCAGAATTTTTAAGAATAAAGACCCAACTAACAGCAAAACTACCTGGGTTTGAGCCATGGCTTTACCACTTACTTACTATCTGAACTTGGGCAACTTTAATGACTTAATCTGAACTTCAGTTCCTTCATTTATATGAACTGAAGATGATAACTAGCTAATGGGATTTTCTGCAGGATAAAAATTTGCTAATATCTATAAGCTACTCAGTACAATGTCCAGCATATAGTTATTGCTCCATATAGGGTTGCCGTCAGTATTATTCTGTCATGTGACAAATACAGTGTTTTATCTATTTTTATCCCATATTCTATAAGGCAAAGTGATTGCATAGAATAGCTATTCAATAAAGATTTGCTGAAGTAGTTGGCAAGAGGGCAGGAATTTTAAAAAGGAAATACCCAGGTGTCTGTTCTGGAAAAGTGAGATGAAAAGAAACTATGCCTGGGCCAAAGAGAGGGCACTGTTCATTTCTGATGTACACATTTCCTTAGTTCATTCCCTACTCTTCCTTAGGCTTCACTTATCTTTTAAGGGTGATTAGAAACAGAGGACAAAATGACAGTTTAAGGCTCTTCCCTAAATGATTGCATAGATATCTGTTCATCTCTTGTGGTCTTCTTTACTCAAGCTCTTTTGCGATTTTTATGCAATTTTTTACTAAGAATTCTGTATCTGTTTCGAGTAAACTTTTGCTGAGTAAACAGTAAATTAGGGAAGTTAGAAAAAGCTTTGTAAAACAGGTTGATAGGAAAAGATGTATTAAATGCCAGAACACAGTTACCATAAAAACTTAGTTCTTGGACTCTATTGATTTAGCATGTTTGATCACTAAACAAGTTTGGGCTCAAAGCAAAGATATTGTGGAAAAACAGTTTCCTCAAAAAATTGTTATGAAACGGAAGCATAAAGGAACCCCTTTAAAATTATTTCTAACTACAACATATATCATTGAAGCTGACTCAGGCTGCTTTTTAAAATATCCAGACCTTAATTCAGATTATTAAAAATAGTGAAAATAGCCGAGAAAATTACTTTTAAAATATTCTATAATTGAGACCTCCCACTAAATCAGATTTAGTTCAAGAGTTCTAAGATAACAGAACCCTCAGTGGAATGAGGACCAAAATAAGTACTAGAAATAAAGGTGAACATTGTTTTTTTTTTTTTATCTTACTGTTGCCAGATAATATGTATTTTTTGTGTAATAGCTTTGTAATAATTACAGAAGTCTATGAGATACATACTTATATCATTTCAATGACAGTGATGATATTACTGAGATAAGAGAGCAAATTATTATTTGCTCAGTCAGTAGGATTTGCTGAAGCCAGAGCTTGCTGCCTCCTCTGCCATGGAGAGAAGACAGAGCCCTAAGCACCGTGAGAAATGAAAGCAGATGGAGAATTTTAACTTCTGCTCAGTCCTTTTGCATGTAATTCAGTTTTTAAATTTGTAAGATCAAATCAAGGGGTAAGAAGTCCTTAATAATTTTTTTTATAAAAGCTTTACCTGGAACATCTCCAGAACTACCTGGCACTATCGTGAAAATTTAAAAATAACCTTTTTTTTTTTTTTTTTTTTTAAAAAAAAGGCAGGGTCTCACTCTGTTGTTGCCCAGGCTGGAATGCAGTGGCGTGATTATAGTTCACTGCAGCCTTGAGCTCCCTGGCTCAAGCAGTCTCCCACCTCAGCACCCTGAGTAGCTGGGACTGTAGATGTGTGCCACCATGTTTGTCTAATTTTTTTTATTTTTGTAGAGGTGGAGTCTTGCTATGTTGCCAGGCTGGTATCAAGCAATCCTCCTTTAACCTTCCAAAGCACTGGGAGTAAGTCCTGAGTCACCATGCCCAGCCGAGAACTTTTTTAAATTCCAAGTTTTATTCTTGTTTGTCAGTCCTAAGGTAGGTCAGAATTTGAGGCAATAGCACTTTTACTTATTTGGCTTTGGTAGCTTCTAAGCCTCCTGTTTTTTAATATGAACTACAGTGGTCTTTTCTACTTAGGCAATTTAAGTTGTCATCTTTTGATGAATTTATTTAAAGCTAAAAGCTTTTTCCTTTTCTTCTGTGGAGGGGGAAAAACGGTGATTAAATCAAATGATTCATGCAGGACACTCGCAAAACCACTCAACAATGAGTTGACTGATTTTAATGCATGTTCTTTACGTTTAAAATTAAAGTTTATAATTCTGTGATATTTATTTATTGTAGGATGTAATTAAAACCATTGTGCAGAGTGGTGGCATCAAGCATCTAGTTACCATGGCAACTAGTGAACATGTAATAATGCAGAATGAAGCCCTTGTTGCTTTGGCATTAATAGCAGCTTTAGAATTGGGTAAGTACCCCAGTGACAAACTTATTTTCTTCTATTTTTATCTTGGATAAAAGGAAGCATAGAAATGGAATTGAAGTCAAACATAACTTGACTGAAAGCATTTTGCTAGTGTGTCTGTACCATTCTCTGAATCTATGGAAAATCATTCTATATAGGTTGTTACAGCTGTCCCCTTTGGTTGTGTTTTTGGTAACGTTTTTAGGGCAATGTATTAAGGTAAGTTTAACTTTTAAATAGTGTTTCAAGTTACAGCCACTTAGAGAATAGAGAAAACATTTTCAGCAGGCTTCACAGAGAAACCAAACAATATTTAGAATTTGACAGCACATGAAGATTCTGCTACTCTCCCAGTGACCGGGACTTTCTCTTCCACCTCTGCTGGTTCTATCTACTACTAATTCTTGCTGTTCTCCTTCTGCATCTCGATCACTGTGATTTCTGTTGCTTGGTAGGATTGCCTTACTCCTGTGTGTTTTACATTCAGAACTCCCCTAAAGCAGAGGCTAAATAATTCAATTAGTTTCGGTCTAACATAGCATTTCTTTGTTTTTTTGAGAAGGAGTCTTGCTCTTGTTGCCCAGGCTGGAGTGCAATGGCGCAATCTCAGCTCACTGCATCCTCTGCCTCCTGGATTCAAGCTATTCTTGTGCCTCAGCCTCCCGAGTAGCTGGGATTACAGGCATGCACCACCACACCTGGCTAATTTTTATATTTTTAGTGGAGACAGGGTTTCACCATGTTGTCCAGGCTGGTCTTGAACTCCTGACCTCAAGTGATCCATCCAAATTGCTGGGATTACAGATGTGATCCGCCATGCCCAACCCTAACATAGCATTTCTAATGAGCAGAATTCTTCATGAGAAGCTAATTCATAGGCATCTAGTTTATGAATAGCATGCTATTCATAAACTAGATGGCTTAGGAGCCAACCCGAGACAGTCAGGGATAATGTAACAGAGTCACATGTCCTGTGGTTAAGGCCTAAGGCTGCTTTACACAAAGGAGTACTTTACACTTAGTAGGGATGTTCTATCCAATTCAAAGCCATTTGGGTAAATACTGTTAACTGATAGCCTCTTAATTCCCACTGATGACTTATATCCATAATTTTCACACTGGGACAAATAGACCCTCCAACTTGATTCCAGAAAGAGGAAACACTAATGTGAGTATTTTTTTTTTATGTGCATAGAGTGTGTAATGATCAAGTGAAGGTGTATAGGATATCTGTCTCCTTGAATAGTCTAGTGTTGACTGGAAGCCTTACCAATAACAATCAGTGAACACATATTTTGTATATTATATACTACGTTCTTATAATAAAGCCAGAGAAAAGAAAATGTTGTTAAGAAAATCATAGGGAAGAGAAAATATATTTACTATTCATTAAGTAGAAGTGGATTATCAAGAAGATCTTCATCGTTGTCTTCCCATTGAGTGGGCTAAGGAAGGAGAAGAACAGAAGGGCTAGTCTTGCTCTCTCAGGGATGGCAGAAGAGAAGAAATTCCAAGTATAGGTGGACCCACACAGTTCATACTTGTATTGTTCAAGGGTCAACTGTATATTTTTTGGTGAAATATTTGTCTTTTACCAATTTTTGTCTTTTACCCATTTTCTTTTTTTTTAATTATTGAGTTTTGAGAATGCTTTATATATTCTAAAAGTTTTATAGTTCTATATTTTACATTTAAGTCTGTAATCCATTTTGAGTTAATACTGGTATAAGGTATGAGGTTTAGGTTAGGATTCATTTCCTTTGTCCTATGGATGTCTACTTGTACCGGCACCTTTTGTTTAAAAGCTGTCTTTCTCCCACTGAATTGATTTTGTACCATCATCAAAGTCAGTTGATCATATATGTGTGAGTCTGTTTTGTGGCCTTCTATTCAGTGCCTTTGATATAAGTGTCTGTGTCACCACCAGTAATACCATGCTATCTTTATTACTGGAGTTATAGAATAAGCGTTAATACTGGGTAGAGGAATTCCTCATACTTTATTCATCTTTATCAAGATTGTTTTAGCTATTTTAGGGCCTGTGGCTTTCATTATAAGTTTTAGTATAAGTTTGTCTATTTTCTACAGAAAATCTTGTTAGGATTTTGGTTGAAATTGCATTGAGTCCTTATCTTTCATTTGTGGAGGAAATTATGTGATTTATCAGATTTACTCAAAAATAATTTGCGATGAGAGTAGGTGAATGAGACAGATTGGCCATGGTAATTCTTTAAGATGATAAATACATAATGTATATTGTTATACCATCTGTTCTGATTTTGTATATGTTCAACATTTTCCATAATAAGTCTTAACTGTCTCATATTAAAAGAAATGTTTTCATATTAAATATTAAGCTTAAACACCTGAAATGTCTACTAAAATCTACTTCTATTCACTCTTTCCACATGGTCTGAATTTAATATTATTTATCTAGGTCATTATTATTTATCACTTCCATTTGGAAGGTTTCATATGATCAGTTTCTGGAAAAGGAAGAACTGTTCATGCTGAGGGTACTGGGTTCATACACAGTAGATATAACTTATACATTGTTTTATTTTGTAGGCACTGCTGAGAAAGATCTAGAAAGTGCTAAACTTGTACAGATTTTACACAGACTGCTAGCAGATGAGAGAAGTGCTCCTGAAATCAAATATAATTCTATGGTCCTGATATGTGCTCTTATGGGATCTGGTAAGTATTTCTTCTATTTTTTGATGTCTATAAGTATACAGTTCACGTTAAATATTAAATATAGAGTAATAGTAAATGATGGCTTTAGGTTTTAAAACCAGTAGAAATTAGTTTATGGAGGTTATAAGATTACTTTTTTCCCATTACTGTAAACACTTAACCGTTTCTTTATGGTGATAACATTGAAAATCTTCTCTTCTAGTTGTCTTGAAATATATACTACATTGGTATTTTCTAGCCACACAACTGTATAATAGAATTACTTTTCACTGAAGATATTCCCAAAAGATTCTTACTACGATAGAAAGTATCACATAGCAAATATAGATGACATTCAGTATTGCAAAATCAATACATCTCATGAACTCTAAAATGTTATTTTATAGTAGGTACAGGTTCTGATTTTGTATGCCATGATATTAACTAAGGAATTTGTTTAGTGGGCCAGGCATGGTGGCTCATGGCAGTAATCCCAGCACTTTGGGAGGCTGAGGTGGGCAGATCCCTTGAGGCCAGGAGTTCATTACCAGCCTGGCCAACATGCTGAAACCCCGTTTCTACCAAAAATATAAAAATTAGCCAAGAGTGGTGGCACACACCTGTATTTTGATTCTGTTGGTACTGGTGTTGAATTTCCTGTCTTCCTGGTTTTCCAGCTAATTGTTCTGTCATTTGTCAAGAGGAGGAGTGTTGAAGTCTCCTGCTATAATTGTAGATTTACCTATTTCTCCTTTCAGTTCTGCCAATTTTTGATTAACATAATTTTCTGCTCTCTTGTTAGGTACCTACATTTTGAGGATTGCTGTGCTTTCTTGAGGGATTGACTCTTATATCGTATAATGTCCCTCTCTCTGGTATTTTTCTTTGCTCTCATCAACTGTATCTGACTTTAACAGCTACTCCTGCTTTTTTTTAATGACTATTTTCTTTCATGTCCCACTACAAGAAGCCATTCTGCTTTATTTTGAATAATATTCACATGACCTTTTCCCAGTCTTTTAGTTTCAGTCTGCTGTATTATTATATTTGTAGTAAGTTCTTATATACAGCACATAGCTGTGTCACATTTTCTAATCCACTCTACCAGTCCCTTTTAATTTGTGTATTTAGACCATTTACATTTAATGGGATGACTGATGTGGTGTAAGTCTACAATCTTATTGTTTTCTGTTTGTCCCATTTCTTATTTCTGACTTCCTATGGGTTATCTGCACATTTTTTAGTCATTTACTCTTCCTCACATATATCTTTTTTTTTCTTTTTTTGGAGACAGAATCTTGCTCTGTCACCCAGGCTGGAATGCCGTCACACAGTCTTGGTTCACTGCAACCTCTGCCTCCTGAGTGCAAGTGATTCTTGTGCCTCAGCTTCGTGAGTAGCTAGGATTACAGATGCCTGCCACCACACCTGGCTAATTTTTGTATTTTTAGTAGAAACGGGGTTTCGCCTGTTCCCCAGGCTGGTCTCAAACTTCTGACCTCAGGTGATTCCCCTCACCTTGGCCTCCCAAAGTGCTGGAATTACAGGTGTGAGCCATCACACCCAGACTCTCATGTATATATCATTCTTAAGTATTTCTTCTACATATATTTAGAATCACATTAGACAGTGTTACAACTTTTCTTTCAACCACCAAACATATTTCAGAAAACTCTTTGAAAAGGGAAGTCTGTATTTACTCACATTTTTTGATTTCTTGTTTTGTTATAATAATTCCCTTTCTGTTTAGAGAACTTCCTCTAGCCATACTTTTAACTTAGGTCTGCTAGCAACAAATTTTTACCAAATGTTTTTTTCATTTGTAATGAAAGGGAAGTGACATTCTCAAGAGAAAATCGGTATAGGATTCTGAATTCACAGTTCTTTTCTTTCTGTACTTGAAAACTATCATGCCATTTTCTTCTAGCCTCCATGGTTTCTGATGAGAAATCCACTGTGTTCCTATTTGTTTTTTTCCCCTGTAGGTAAGGTGTCATTTCTGTCTCTCAAAACATTTTTCTTTGCATTTAGTATTCAGAAATTTAACTATGATGTGTCTTGGTGTGAACTTCTTTGGGTTTATCCTGTTTCAGTTTGCTCAGCTTCTTGAATTGGTAGGTTTATATCTTTTGCTAAATTTGGGATGTTGTGACTGTTAGTTCTTCACGTACTTTTCAGCCCCATTAGGGGCTTTCCAGACCTCTGATGACATTAATGTGAGATCTTTAATTATAGTCCTACAGGTCCCTGAGGTTTTGTTCTTCTTTTTCACCCTCAGGTTATTTTCTCTTTGTTATGCAGACTATTGTTTTACTTGGAAGTTCTCAGATTATTTCCTTTGTCCTCTCTGTTGTGGTGTTGAACCTATTTTTATTTCAATTATATATTATAATATAAAAATTTCCATTTGCTTCTTTGTATCTGGAGATGGATGCTGATGATTGCACAGCAGTGTGAATCTCCCTAATGCCATTAAACTGTATAATTTTTACCCCTCCCACAGCCTCTGGCAATAACCGTTTGTTTTATGTCTCCATCAGTTTGACTACTCTAGGCACCACATATTTATGTTACAATAAACTTTTATCCTTTTGTGTCTAGCTTATTTCACTTAGGTCTTTAAGGCTCATCTGTGTTGTAGTACATGTCAGAATTTCATTTCCTTTTAAAGCTGAATAATTTTCCATCATATGTACTTACACACTTTGTTTATCCATTCATCAATTCATGAACATTTGGGTCATTTCTGGCTTTTGGCTTTTGTGAATAATGCTGCTGCTGTGAACATTAGTATACAAATATCTCTGAGTATCTGTTTTAATTATTTTTGGTATATACTCAGAAGTGGAATTACTAGGTCATATGGTCATTCAGTGTTTAATTTTTTTAATTAAATACTGTTTGTACTGATTAAATACTGTCATACACTTTTCCATAGTGGCTGGACCACTGTGCATTTTCACCAACAGTACACATGAATTATAATTTCTTAACATCCTCACCAATGTTTGCTGTGTTTTAATAATGGCCAGACTAATGAGTGTGAGGTGGCATCTTACTGTGTTTTTTATTTGCATTTCCTTAATGATTAATGATGGGAATCTTTTCATGTGTTTGTGGACCATTTGTATATTTTCTTTGGAGAAATGTCTATTCAAGTCTTTGTCCATTTTTAGAATTGAAGAAGTTTTATTTTTTAGGTGGCGTTTTGTTCTTGTTGCCCAGGCTGTAGTACAATGGCCTGATCTTGGCTCACCATAACCTCCATCTCCTGGCTTCAAGCAATTCTTCTGCCTCAGCCTCCCAAGAAGCTGGGATTACAGGCATGCGCCACCACACCTGGCTAATTTTGTCTTTTTAGTAGAGGCGGTGTTTTTCCGTGTTGGTCAGGCTGGTCTGGAACTCCCAACCTCAGGTGATCTGCGTGCCTCAGCTTTCTGGAGTGCTGGGATTACAGGTGTGAGCCACCACGCCTGGCCCAAATTGTAGTTCTTTATACCAGTACCACACTATTTTGATTATTGTAGCTTTGTATTAAGTTTTAAAATCAGTTAGTATGAGAACTTCAGCTTTGTTCTTCTTTTTCAAGATTGCTGTGGAGATTTAGGATCCCTTGAGATTACATATGAATTTTAGGATGGATTTTTCTTTTCTTTTCTTTTTTTTTTTTTTTTTTGAGACGGAGTTTCACTCATGTTACGCAGGCTGGAGTGCAATGGCGTGATCTCGGCTCACCGCAACCTCCGCCTCCTGGGTTCAGGCAATTCTCCTGCCTCAGCCTCCTGAGTAGCTGGGATTACAGGCACGCACCACCATGCCCAGCTAATTTTTTGTATTTTTAGTAGAGATGGGGTTTCACCATGTTGACCAGGCTGGTGTCGATCTCTCGACCTCGTGATCCACCCGCCTCGGCCTCCCAAAGTGCTGGGATTACAGGCTTGAGCCACCGCGCCCGGCGGATTTTTCTAATAGTACTAAAAACACTGGTTCATTGGTTTATGTCAGTCTTATCAAAATAAACACATCAGTTTCAGTAGTACTGATTATGTTAAGCTTATCAGACTTCACTCTTCCCATATAACAGTTCTGAATCTTAGCAGGAATCCTACATTTTCTTATAATTGAAGTTAAATGGAGAAAGCAAGTCAGGAAGAAAAGGATAAAAATCTAAAAGGGAGTCCAGTGTCACAGAAATTTGTTGAAGGATATGAAGTATAAATTTTTCTTTTGCCACAAAATTAATCTGAAACATATCCTAAGGTTTTTGATAAGTCATTGGACTTCATATTTGAAATGGTGATAGGGTTATATGTAACCAAACCTTGAGATCATACAATGAACTATGTTCAATTATAACTCATTGTAAGCAGTCTTACACTGTAGCATTTGATATCTCGTTTTTCTTTTTAAAAGTTGGGCAAGTAGCTGGGCAGTGGCTTATAACTGTCATCTCAGCTACTTGGGAGACTGAGCTGGATGGATCTCTTGAGGCCAGGAGTTTGAGGCTGCAGTGAGCTGTGACTGTACCACTGTATTCAAACCTGGGCAACAGAGCGAGGCCCCACCTTTAAAAAAGTTTTTTAAATTTGTTTTTAATTTCTTAAAAAAATTAAGTTTTTATTTTTAGTTATAATACGTTCCTAAGAAAGACATTGCTAGGCTACTGCTACGTCTTTTTCCAGAATTGTTCCTAGTTTTATAGCTTAGTCTTGTCAAAATAAACATTTTGGGTGTATGTTTTGAATACATTGTATAATAATATCAAAACAACCTAACAGAATCATATCTGTTATTTTTTTGTCTTCCAGAATCTCTACATAAGGAAGTGCAGGATTTGGCCTTTCTAGATGTTGTATCCAAACTTCGCAGTCATGAGAACAAAAGTGTTGCCCAGCAGGCCTCTCTCACAGAGCAGAGACTTACTGTGGAAAGCTGAGAACTGCCCGATACACGGCATCATCCCATCTCTGATTTCCCCTCCATCCTCCATCCAGCTGCCTCTTCTACTTCATTCTCTACCATACCACTTGTGCATGCATGTAATGTTCTAATACCAGTTGAAGAACTGCTGTAGGTACTTGCCTAGTAAGATTTCTAAACCCATAGTTAGTGTGAACATGACTTTGTCAAAGGCAAGTCTCCACCCATAACTGTTCTCTCGTATTCCTGTTGCTTGAGCTACATTAAGTAGAATGTGCATGTTGTAGTCCTATGATGACGTAAACTTGGTACTACATAATGACTTGCTCCACACATGCAGTAAACTACATAATGATGTACTGGTAAACTAGAAACAATGCAGCAGGATCTGTCTAGTTATTAAAGTTGAAACTGAATAGGAAAAATAGCTCCATTTTTTGGTGCTTGGGAAGCACAGTGAACAAAAAAAGCTGTATGGCTGCTTATTCATTAGTCTTTCCTACTGATGTCAAACCGACGGTACCTAGAATTAAATAAAATTCCAGTGCTCTTACTCTTTAACCTATGGTTTTTCCTTTTTCCTTTGTAGACTATTGAAACTGCCGCCACAAACTTGGCAAGACCTTCTGAGGTTTCTGATTCCATATTTAATTGACCAGCCCAATACTGAAAAACATTTGTAGTTTTCAGTGTGAAACTAAGGGGTTGAAGAATTGCTATTACAATCCCTATTATAAAACATTTGTGTTTTGCCTGTATTTTAGTTTCTGATACATATGCTGTTTCACCCAGGAACTACTTCTACCAGTTAATCAATCAACATTGTCCAGCACTTGTCTGTAAAACTTATTTGGCATTTGTTTTCATCTGAGTAAATTGAGTATATGGTTCATTGAAGAATGGATTTTTTTTTTTTTTTTTTTGGCTGATTTTCATTATTCAGCTAGAAAGTGAGAAGTTTTATCTTCCATAGTCCTTTTAAATCTTATGTTAACACTTGCAGGACACAGAGGGAAAGATGAAGAAATAAGTTTGTCTGGACTAAAGAAAGGAAGGCAGGTTATAAAAGCCATAGTAGCCAGTCCAGTTGATTCTGCAGATGGCCTCATACCAATCGCTGTTAGTTTCCCACCTCCACTTTCCCACTGAGAACTGCAGCAATTTTAAAGGATATGAGAAAGCCAAGATTCAAGAAATGAGAAGACCCCCCAACCTTGGCGAAATATAGTGTACTTTTCACTGCCACTGCCACCATCAAATGGGTTTTTAGAGCTTTGAAACACAATCTTTGTAAATTAATCAAAACCTCCCTGTAACCCACCTGCCTTTCTCCCCATACCCAAATTTGACGACTACTGCCCTAAGAGGCAAGAGGGACTTTAATATAGAAGGACTGCAGGACAGTAGAAAGGGCCGCCACAGAGGTGGCAGGAGCTCCTTCCTCTTTAACATGAGATGCTACACATCTCCGTGGGTAATCCAAGTTGGACTTTTGACTCTAAAACACCTATAATTCAAGTAAGTTAAAATCCTGATGGAGAATAAATAAATAAAAACGAAAAAATCCTATGGAGGTAAAGAATCTTGACTTATGTTCTGCTACACTTACTTACTATAAGAATGATATTATTTGTTGTCTTTCTCCTGGGCTGGATAGTGGACTATATTTTATTATAGGCTTTGAAAGACTAATGTTGCATAACTGTTCATATTAACTTAATAAATAGTATAAGAAGCTATAATGACATCATTTGGTTTGTTTGTATATTTTGTCTGTATTTCCAACTCCTAGAATAGGGCTTGCTATTGATGCTCAACAAATATTTGTTGACTGAATGAATGAATGAATCCTATATCCATGAAGTTTCCAGACTGTCTGAACTAATTCCAGAAAGATAGACTGACTGATAGAGAGTTTGAGATTTGATAGTTTGTCTGGCTTTAGGGAAAACATTTTAACAAAAGCATCCTAAATTCATAGATGTGAGAGAAGTTACCCATCTGGGCCAGTTGCCAGCCATCAATTTGCTAATATGTTAGGAACTCCCATCTCCAGCAAAATAAAGTGCATTTAAAATTACTAATCATTCTACAGAGAGACCAGAAGGCTGTCCCCTTATCACAGGGGCCACCAAATTAGATGGTACAGTGATGTGCCATTGCATCCCATATCTCCTGCCACCTAATCTTAGTTGTAGAGGCCACTGTTAAATTTGTTTGCTACCCACTAAGAGTACATTCTAAGGGAGACGATAGGAGGAATAGCACAACAAAGCTTTAACTGTCATTTTGAGCCATAGATGAAAAGGCCAGGAATTCAAGCAAAGAAGATGCCTGAGTGCAATGCACTAGAATACCCCTTTCCTTCCAACCCCATTAGCAACTTGAGTCATGCTAACCACTCACCGAGACCATAACCTCATTGTGCTCAAAGCAAACACTAGCCCATAACCCGGTGTTTTTCTTGATAAAAACATGTTTTGAGCATACTCTCTGATAAGAATGGAGATATAGAGAAGACTTTTTCATCTAAAATTATTTTTGAATAGAATGTAATTCTCATGTGCAAGCATTTAGTCTGAAGTGATCTGAATGATGCTACATGTGAAGACTTCAAAACAGAAATGCTCTTTGGTGTAATTAGGAGGCTTAATAGTAATTCTCTTGAACATACCAGGTGAGGATATGTAGATGTTAAGACATTTACTTACGTGAGCATAACCCTTTGTATCCAGCTGTTAACTGGAATCAGTAAACTTAAAAGCCACTGTAACATTTGTATTATGTAAGTGTCTGTTGAAAAGCACGTAATAATATTTGGCATGAATCTTAATAGCTATAGCCAAGAAAACTGAGGTCTTTTTTTACAGGTATGATCTCTAACTTTGCCTACATACATACATACAAATACATATATGCCACGTAGCTTCCTAAGAGTATGTTTTATAGGTGTGTATAATGAAAGTGTTGTATACTTTAAAAGGGTGATATAGGGCACAGAGTATGGTCTTTGGATACTGTCTAATCCGTAGTCAGATCCTGGGTCTGTTACATATTGGCTGTGTGGCCACAGCCAAGTTACTTAAATTCTTTGGGCCCAATTTCTCATCAGTATGACAAGTTTAATAATCTCTACTTCCCTTAGGATTTTCATGACAATTGAAATTTTTAAACAGAATTGTGATACCTTAGGGACGAAACTATATACTCCCCTCTCACTGCTGCAGGATTCCCAACTAAAAGGATTCAAAAAACAACCCCAAACAGAAAACAGTGTGCCTATTAATAGTTTATAATGTGGAAACAAAACAGCTCATGCCTATCATCCCAACACTTTGGGAGGCTGAGGCGAGCAGATCACTCAAGGTTAGGAGTTCAAGACCAGCCTGGCCAACATGGTCAGGAAACCCTGTCTCTACTAAGAATACAAAAATTAGCCAAGCGTCAGGGTGCATACCTAGGTAATCCAGCTACTTGGGAGGCTGGGACAGGAGAATTGCTTGAACCTGGAAAGCAGAGGTGGCAAAAAGCCAAGATCATGCCACTGCACTCCAGCCTGGACAACAGAGCAAGACTCCATCTCAAAATAAAATAAAATTTTAATGAAACTGAGTTTTTCAGCTGTAGCCACAGAGATTCTATCTAACAACACTTTGAAAATGGACAATACACATCTATGTCCCTCCCATTAATAACACTAGACAGGAACTTACTTAATATGATGACAATTCATTTTTACATATTGGAACCAAATTATCAAACAAACTTTAAGCCAGGTAGGTACTGCTGCCTACAGTTCTTCTGATCTTTGTTCCCTTAGTATTGTCATACTTGCCCAAAGAGATATATAGAGGCTCCCACTTTGTAAAAAAAAAAAACCAGGGTGATGTTATGAACAGCACCCACTTCTCACAGGTGGCTCTAATGGTTTCCCTAGTCTCCTCCAGCATTATCAACACAAATTGATAATGAAATTGAGCTTTCAGGGAGCAAAAATGAAGCAAGTAGGCTATCAAAGGCATTAGTCAGGACTCAGGTGGCAAGTGACTTGAATTTTGTACCCACTACCACCTGAAAAAGCAGAGTATTAATTATGGAACTAGTCCATGGCCCAGAGATCAGTGGTTTTGCTGGTAGGCACATGTGCAATCTTATTTTAATCTGCTTAATTATATACAGTGATAACCCCATTCACTCTTGTGTAGACTTTATAGTGTTTAGTGCTGATCACTTATGAAGGGCACATATATAGAGAATGTTCTGTTTCAAGATTTTTTTTAAAAATTAGCTAGATTTCTTTTTTTAAAATCATCAAGAAACTAAAGCATAATCCTGTCACACTTTGAAGGTTCTTAGTTTCCAGGTTTTGAATTTTTAAAAATTATATCACTTTAAAGATTTTTATTAGACTTTATCTTTAAAATTGTTTAAGTTTTTTGTTTTGTTTTGTTTTGTTTTGTTTTTTTGAGACAGAGTCTCACTCTGTTGCCCAGGCCATAGTACAGTGGCGCTCACTGCAACCTTCACCTCCCAGATTAAAGTGATTTTTATGTCTCAGCCAAACAAGTAGCTGAGATGACAGGCATGCACCACGTGCCCAGGCTTTTTGTTTGTTTGTTTTTAGCAGGGTTTTTGTGTTAACGGTTTCACCACATTGGCCAGGCTGGTTTCAAACTCCTGGCTTCAAGTGATCCACCCACCTCAGCCTCCCAAAGTGCTAGGATTACAGGCGTGAGTCGCTGTGCTCAGACTAAAAAATGTTAAATCTTAACCCAGGCTTTCAGTACATACAATTTAAATGTAATGACAGGTCTTTTAAAAAATAGATAATCTATTCAAAATTATATTTGAGAGTCATTACTATTACAGTAGTTATTACAGCACCTCTGACCTTCACCTCCTTTCAGGGAAGTTCTACTCAACATCCCTGTGCTTAGTTCCTTTGTGTCTAGCATAGGCACATCAGACAAATACCTAAAACACTTAACGAAGGGGTAATTGAATAGAATTCTAAGATAATGTGAAGAAATATTAACCATAGGAGCTTTGACTTCAGACCTATCTTTGCAGGAACCCAAAATAGTTCCTAATTCCAACTAAAGCCAACTATCAGTAGTCAGTTCTGTTGCCCCACTGTCCCGTTTTAGGTTTCCAGAATACAACCCACTCTCCACCATGCTTCTGCCATGACTTCCTTTTTTGCGTAGGTAAGAAAAGTAGAAGTGTTAATGAATCATATTCTGCTCTTTTCACCCACACAGCCTCATCCACTAGTACCCAGCAGAAGTTAAAGGAAGTAACAGCAGAGTGTCCATTTAGCTTCATCATATCCCAAAGCAATAACTATCAAGTCTTCTGCTTCCTACTCGCCTACTTATTGTCCTCTTGTTACCCCATCACATGATTCTAAAATACCGTTACTTCCCGTAAGCCACTACAAGCGAAAACAAGATGTTCACTGACCTGAGAAAAACATCTGACAAAAATTCATTTCCTGTTAATGAGAGAACAGCCTTGCATTTGTATGTTATAATCTGATCTGACAGTTAGTTCATAGAAAG